TCTTTCAATTATATTTCACACATATATGTATGTATTAATAAATACTGAGGAAGTACCTTTAAGCGTAAAACATGTAAGCATAAGTACTATTATTAGAAACCAGTAATGTTATAATACTTTTCTATGAAATTAAAATATACGAATGATATGTATTAATATTAAATTAAAAATAATATCTCGAGCAAAACCTAATATTTAATATAATCATTATTCAATAACTTAATTAAAATTTTATAATAAATGAAACTATACATATGCATTGGAACATTAACATCAACAATTTAATACATGAACATACTGAACTGATATTTTATTTGCGAGTTTATTATTTTTCCGTGGGTGGATCCCGTAAATAGTTCTTGGGTACGTAACCTTTGTTACCGTAACGATCCTCCATAAGCCACCATTCATCATTTCCTTTCTCATCATGAGGTCTAACGAGTCTCAATGCTTGTCCTTTAACGACAGGCAATGTTCCAGGTATCTTTGTAGAAAAATCATATTCTGCATAATAAAACTGGAAAATAGTGTAATTTAGTTTAACAACGAAAAGTTCCTTAATATATTTAACACGTTCAAACCGGCGTGACCCACCGTTGGACCACAATCTGCACTTCTATCTAGCGGCGTAGGTCACCGCTGAATCATATCTTTTTTTACCATCAGGCGACGTTATCCACCGGTGATTTACGCCATTTACGTTTCCAATTTTAACTTATAAAAATGTAATTTAACGGAAATAATATGGAACTGGAATAATATGTTATTGGGGAAGGCGCGTATGAAAAGACTTGAATGTGTTAATATTACTTACTTCATAGTTTAAATTTTGATATTGTTGAACTCTAGGAATTTGTTCAATGTTGCCATAATAGTGATTCTCTTTCTTCGTGTCTTCGTTAATGTTAAGGTCTAATAATTCTTTCAAATGTGATTGGGATGTAGTTTTGATTTCTTTTTCAGGAGAATCCATGCAAATTAGATTAGAAGATACAGATGTATTACTGTATCTATCTGAAGTAGTAGCTTCATTGGGTAATTCAGCTTGTGTTACTTGTTGAAGTTGCAAACTTTTTGAAGGTAAAAATCCTTGAGCAACACCGTTATCTACAAACCATCTAGTGGCATCACCCATAGGATCTTGCTTCTTAATCACTGCGACTAATGTCCCATGTGCTGCACCCATATCCAAAGAGGAAGTACTTGCTATATTTTCTGTAACAACATATAATTTATCACTAGAGTATTTCTTTCTTAATGCAATTCTTTGTCTTTCCCCTTGTGGGCACCATGTGGATTGAGCTTCTTCTATCCGTGAGTTTAATCCAGCAAATGCAAAACGAGTTATTTGGTTCCACAATAAACTATGATTAACTAAAAATGACTCCAAAATGTCCGGACGTGATAATTGAGTCGAGGTCTACACATATAAATAAATATGATCAAATTTTTAACCTTTACATAATCGTACATATCGATTGTTTTATTTGAAATACCTCGCAAAGAGACAAATATCTTTTGGTAATTTTTCCACATAAAAGTTTTCTAGCTTGTGCAAAAGCACTAACACAGTCAACTAATACTTTTGTTCCAGCATCAATCACAATTGGCAATTCTTCTATTAGTTGATGTGTTAAAGCTTCATAATTACTTTTTGCTGTTGATAATTCATCTTGTGCCTATATAAAAAATAAAATGTCGTGATGTGTCTATACAGTTTAATAGCGTTATTTAAAGAAATAATTAAATACAATAGAAGCTCACAATTCTTGATTCTTTGTATTTTTCACTTTTAGAGATAGCAGCGTCATAATCAAGTAATTTGTCATGTGTCTTTGTTATTAACACAGCAGGTCCCTCTAATAAGGTTGCTAAACAATTAACTGGTGCACTAACTCTATTTTTCAAACATATCTTCAATTCTTGTACGAATTGTGACCAAATTGTGGTCCTTATGTCTCTAAGTCTCATTGCTTCAACATTAGGTGTTCCTTGATAGTATTGAATCAAGAAATCTGATATCATTTCTCCAGAAATAGATTCATCGCTTAAATATGTAAGGCACTGTTCAGCATCTTTAGCTAAATGTAAGACGCATTTTTCAACAGATCTAAATTGTTTCACAAGCTCTTCAAATTCTGGGTCAATAACAACATTTGTTAATCCTAAACTAGCAGAAAATCGTGTACTTAATCGGGTAGACATTTTTGCCACAGAATGCATATTAAGTTTAGCCATTTTTCTTATTAATGTGTTGCCATTACCCAAATATTTTGATACTAAGTCTTTCCTACGTTTATATTCGTTAATATGACTGGCAACAGCAGTCATAGTCTTCCATGCTTCCTCAACTGTAGATTTATCTGGATGGTTGTCATCAGTACACTATAAAATAGTTGCCTAATTTTAAGGAAGCTTATAATACACTGGTAATACATATATAAGTATTAGCATGACTTACCTTTACTAACTCATATAATATAAGGGGATACTTTAATATTCGTTGTACTGGCTTTATAAGAATAGAACTCATATCAAAGCAAGCTACTTGATACCGCAATGTTTCAATTCCTTTGTTGAATACTTTCATTATTTCTTCATTATTCTCATACTGAAATCATATAGTAATCTATAAAATACTTAACATATAAAAGGTAAAAAAGAAGTGATTTTAATATAATAACCTTTTTTAATAAAAATAATGCAGCTTCATGATTTCCGCAATATTTTACATAGACGCCTTTTAGTTTTTCAGCCATTCTTGTAAAACAAGGACCAATAGTTTGTAATTCTTCATCACACCCCTTCATTGCTCTTAGTATCAGATCTAATAATTCTTCTGCAACTTGAATAACGTCAAAAAGATTTCCGAATAAAGTAGTCACATCTATTCCCAAAGATTCAAGTTGACTTGGATTATGTAAGTTAAATGTTTCATATGTCATCCTTAAGTCGCGAACATATTCCTTTTCGGTGAGAACTAATTCCGATATAACATTCTGTCTTTGGTCTGCTCTTTTCCGTTTAATTTCTAAATTATCATTATCAGTAATGTTGATTTGATGATTCATATTATCTAGAATTGAATTGTTCTCTGTTGCACCCTTTTGTAGTGGAGTACTACCCGGTGCAGGTACAGGTGGTGCTGGTCTATGAGGTTCTGAAAGTCTTTTTGATTTTTCTTCCTTTGTTCTTTCAGAAACTGCGTCATCGTGTCGTATTATTACAAAATCTTCCAAAATACTAACATCTGATGATTCTATAGGCAATGGACTCAAGTAACCTCTTGGACATAAACCAACTTTACCAAAGTGATCTTCAACATTAACCCAATCTGAATTTACCATATTAATTACTTTAACTGTATCAGCTTCAAAAATAGTCAAATCTCCATCCATTTGAGCTTTAAAAGTGTAATCCACTTTTGCTTCAGTTCCAGGCACTAATTCATCATATTGTATAGTGTTTGTTTCTTGATTACAGAAATTTTGTTCATTGTTTGTTTCGCTACAATCAACTATGATGTTAACATAAGACATAGGAAAAATGCCTTTTTGATTATCTATCGTACCTTCTAACCATTCTGAATCTACATGTTTAATGAGATGTACCACTTCTCCTGCTCCAAAATTAAGCTCATTTGGAAATTGAGCACTAAATGGGTATAGAGTTATAGCATATGGATTTACATCTAATGTATTCAGATTATTGGTATTTTTTACATCTTCTGTTACACTTGAAGAAGTTGGTTTGAATTCAGGAAATAAATCATAATAATTTGGTGCAGGTTCTTCCACACAGGATTTTGCAGAAGGTGTTTCTTCAACGTTTCTATATATACTTTCATTACAATTTATAGATATAGAAGAATTATTGTCCGTAACAGATGCTATATCTAATTGATCTGTGCTGTCATTTATATAAGATATAAACCCTTCTGGAAACATACCCATTTTGCCATCATTTGTTATTCCATAGCACCAACCATCACCTAGAATTTCTGTGACAGTGACTATTTCACCTTCTACCAAATCAAGTTCTTCCTCAAGCTGCGCTTTTAAATTAGTTTTTATTCTAGCTTTTTTTCTTGTAATCTTCTTCTCTAAAGCTTTCTGAAAATGATAGAAATTAGTGTTTTTAATGGTTTTCTTATTTATATAATAAATGCAATTTAATTACTAGATTAAAAAGTTAATTTATACAAATAATATACCTTCAATAACTTAGTGTCAATTTGCCATACATGTGTTAGTGGAAAAATACCCTTTTTAGAATTTACTTGACCTAAGTACCATCCAGATCCAACATCTTGTACTCCAATAATAATTTCTCCTATATTCAGGAAATATATGCATTGGAATAGTTCCGTTATTTAAAAGTATACATATGTACAAACACAAATTACCTTCGGAAAAACATAGATCTCCATCTTGTTGTCCTGGAAAGCTTGCAATTGATACAAACAAACATTCAGAATCATGGAATGACGGAATTTCTACTTTGTGTAAATGACTTGAAGGAAATTTTCCAGTTCTGCCGCGAGATTCTCCATAACACCAGTGCTTATCTATGACACTATATACCTATCCCAATTTTACAAAAAGAAGAATGTAATTAAATACAATAGGGTTATAAATAAATGTTTATGTACACATATATTTTTAAAAATACCAAGAAATGTTCTCCTTTATGTAAACTTAACTCTCCATCAACAGTCGTTAAAAAGTCGGATAAAACTTTCGTGAGTATTCCTGGTTCCATTTTTATATAAAACTTAATTTAATCCTACTTTTAATTTTGGAAAGTCACAAATCACAATTCTGGAGAGATTGACACCTTGTCAGTGTAGTGTGTCGTGATAAGACCTTTAGTCACGTGGCAAGAACATCTGTTCAGTTACGTCGATCCTCAAATTTAACTCGTGCGTTTGAATATATCACACGAAAACATAAGAATTAAGTATTTCAAGATATTATGAGGTTAATAAATATTTCAAATATACGTCGAAAATTTAATTTAATAATTTTGTAACATATACTATGTATTAAAGGAAGTAGAACGTTAATTTTAATTGAAAAGTGCATGCAATGATTTCTTTTATTTAGAACAAATTTATACAAATACGAGTATAATTAAAACTAAAATCTATATTTATTTTGACCGTGAATATTATCCGGCATTATATTCAATTTTCGAACAGTTTGATACAAGAGTTACATTTTAAACAAGATTAAATAAAATATAAAAGCTTTTATTCTTTATTTTTATACTTTTTCTCTCCTACTTATTGAACATGGAGGAACAACAGTCCTTATTTAAATGTAATGTTATTCTTCTTTAAAATTAAGTTGAATATTTTATCGACATACATGCTAAATTTGAGGTTATGAAAGTATGTGTATAACTGCTTTTTGGAGTATTTACTTTTAAGTGTATATTTAAGGAACAAATATTACATAATTATTAAATGATGCAGTGTTCAAGAAAGCTTGTTATGGTTTTAAATAAATCACAACATATAATAAATATAAGAAGAAAATTTAATATACTAAATGTTATCCATCAGTGTAAACATGCGTCTTATACAACATTTAAATATGAGGAGAACGAAGAAGAAAAGAACACCTATGCACAGGTATCCCAAGACTGCTTGGGAACAGCTATTGATGGAAATAGAGTATTTGTGATACAACCATATATAAAATGGGGTATTAATAAGAAAAGAAATACTACACCTCAGTTGCAATTAGCCGAGGCAAAAGCACTCATTAATACTTTAACTAATTGGAGCGTTGTTGGTGAGAAGCTAGTTCCACTACTTACTTTGAACAAAAATAAGTTAGTTGGTGTAGGAGCTCTTGAATCGTTGAAAGAAGATATTAGAAAATGCCCACATGTTACATGTATATTTATTAGTACAAATTTATTGAAATTTGTACAAATTGCTGAGTTGCAAAAGGCTCTTCAGTTACCAATTTATGATCGTTATTCTATAGTCATTCATATTTTCCGAGAACATGCAAAGACACCAGAGGCAAAATTGCAGGTAGCTTTGGCTGAACTTCCATACATAAAGCAGAAAATGATGGATTTATCCAATTATCATATTGGACGAATAAACTATACAGAAAAAATGAAGAATATGCTACAAACTAGAGAAAAAAAGTTAAAAAATGCACTACAAAGGTTAAAAGAACATAGACAAAGGATAAGACAGCACAGAGTTAATTATGGTTTTCCAAGCATTGCTATTATTGGCTACACAAACGCTGGCAAGACATCTTTGATAAAAGCATTAACAAATAATGCTTCGTTGCAACCTGAGGACAAATTATTTGCTACTTTAGATACAACAGTACATGGAGGATTACTTCCAAATATGTTAAAAGTATTATATATCGATACCATTGGCTTTATTCAAGATGTACCAGAAATTTTAATAGAGCCATTTATAGTAACTTTAGAAGATGCTACAAGTGCAGTATGTAAAATCTTATTTTTTTTGATTATATTGAAATCTACTAGCTTAAAGTAACTTTATTTAATCTTCTATAGGATATATTAATTCATGTATTTGATGTGAGTCATCCCGATGTTAGAGCTCAAATTCAACATGTTCAGAAAACAATAGAGACTATGGTAGATGAAAATAAAGTAATAATTAACGTTGCTAATAAATGTGATGTAGTAGAAAAAGATGTCATAGAAAACGTTATACCAGAGAATACGTTTGCCATTTCTGCTACTAAATTGACAGGCATCGATTTATTACGATCGAAAATAGAAAAAGAAATTACAAATACACCTAATTTAATAAAGAGGCGTTTTAGAGTAGGAAATGGAAGTACGGAAGCATCGTGGTTGTACAAAGAAGCGACAGTTCTAAGCGCTGAGCCTGATCCTAATAATCCACAATACTTAATAATGGATGTATTCATGACATTACCTATATTTTATAAATTTAAACGAGTTTTCAATCTCACTCGATCTAAATAAATTTGTTTAAATCTATTTCTCTATCATGTGTTTGTTGTAATATAATTGATTTATATTGACTAATGCTTATATAATTCGTTTTATTTTATCAGTTTGTTCCATTCTATTCACCATCTTCGTTTAATAGTAGAAAATACATCATGGAGCACAAATAAAAATTTTGATAATATTTATCCTCATAATAGTTTTTCTAATTTAGTTAGGGTCTTATTTTCTATTGCATGAAACTATAACCCAACAATTCAAACTAATATTTCGTTTTCCCTAGAAAAATTAAATGAAACTTACCAACCTCAAAGCTCTCCAGATTAAGTCATCTTTTTCAAGTCGATTTTCCCTTTTATGATAGCCATTCCGCACACGTGTTTCGCACGTGTTTCTCTACAGTTGGTGCTTCTGAATACCAGATGTATGATACATAACTCGAAATTTCAACCAAAGCAGTCGTTGCGCTCGTTAACTGAATTAAAGCTTTATTGTGTGTACTCGTATATCTTTACGACTGTCAAATCTAGACGTAAAAACAAGCTTAGATATCTGCTTTATTTTTACGACTTCAAAACAGGTAGAAAATTAAAATTATTATTTGTATACTGAATTGTCTAGTATTATACAGAACATAGAAATATTTTGGAATGGAGATGAACAGAAATTCTAATTTTAAAGATTCAAAATAAATGTTTAAAAATAGGATTCTTGAATGAAATGTTTCCAAGGGTTTCATATGCAAATGTTCACACATTAAAATCGTGCATCGCATTCTAATATAAATTGGCCTCAGAGGCGACGCGTGGGTTGCAGAGGATGCAATTTCGTGTTATCGAAGAGTAGAATTCAAGCGTGGAGGATGGCTCGTAGAAAAAAAGAGATACGAAAATCCGGCGAAGAGTAAACGAGATAAGGAGGTTCGTTATACGTACTCGTACAGCTCACTCTAGCTAACTGCAGTTTGATGTACGACTCTTGATAGCTAACAAAGACGGTAGCTAAACGGGATGCAATTACTTACACTATTATAATGTGTAAGTATTTGAACTTTTTCAAACTACTTTACGTAATATAAAATATATTTCTCAAATGAAACTTTTTAATTTACTTTTGATAATTTTTTAATTTTTGATGAGAACAATTGACCAACAGAAAATTCATTGACACATTCTTTAATCATGCTTTCTTATCCAACTAAATAAATGCATTTTTTTGTATCATACATACATGTGGAATTTTAACCATTTATACATGTATTTGTATTTTTTTTACAACTGATAAATGACGATTAGTATACATTTTAATCGCATAAGGGCCGGTTAAACGAGAGTCTATTACGTAACAAATAGACCACTCTTTCTCTTTTTATCGAATTGTACCAGAAGTCAAAATACTTACGTACATCAGTATACGTCAATCAAAAAATAAATGCTTAAAATTTTATCGAGCAATCAACGTCAAATATTCGTGCGTGCTTCAAGTATTCTTTTTTCGATGAAACTATCGGTGGGTAACAGTTTTGGAAGTGGCGTTTATTAAGAGGCGGGTTTATTTGTCTTATCTTTGTTGGCGAGTGCAAGAACGATCATCCGCCGCAAGAAAGTTCGCGGCGAGGGTGCCGGCGACGTGATGTATAATTCATAGAGCCGGTGTTTCATGCATATATAGATATAGAGAGCGTCTTAAGGAATTAATCGTGGCGTCGTGTGGAAGAGTTTCGATGCAAGTCGTTCGTTCTTCGCCGAGGGAATTAATGAAGGATTGATATCGCGATTATGGCCCTTCCCTTGCGGAAAGGGTCCGGTGTGCCAAGAGAGGCCGATCGACAACCGGGCAAACGGGCCGCGATAATTAATTACGAGCGTGACGTCGCTTTAACGTCGTTAATTTTCATTATCTCGATTGGAATTCGCTTGTAGCGCACCGTGTACCGCTTTCGGGCTTGCTAATTTCGCGCCTCGTCTCAACCTCTCCGCGGAAAAGGCATTAATAATTCCGGCTGTCCTTGCAAAATTTGTCACCTACCGTGGCCAGGCCGCGGTAACGTTAACGTTGGTCACGCACACCAAACACTTTCATACAGAGTAGCTATGCTTTCACGGATGCAAGGATCCCAGCAATGCACTTTACATGTTGTCTGGATTATTAAAGCGAACCAAGTGAAACCTAATTATCGCGGTGCCACTCCTGCCACTGGCTTTAGCCGAACGACTAATTTCCACCGCTTTCCTACTGTTTACCGAGGTAACAAAGCAACAACTTTACATTCTCGCCGCTCCCAACCTGTGGGACGACTCTAATCTCCGTAATCTTTGCGTGTCTACGCTTTACATGTATCATTACCTGTCGTTGTTTTGCACTCTTCGTTTCTTACATTCTTCTTTGGTATTCATATCTTATTCGCATAGACCGTCACATCTTAACTGGATCGTGCAACAGAATGGGGTTAGTGAGAATTTTATGCTGTTGTTTCAAACGAATACGTGACATATGTGAATCCTTGGTCTCGAGGAGCTCATTTTCGTTCCTAAATCGATGCATTGTAAATTTGCCGTAGGATATTCATTGCTACGATGTTTCTCTTTATACTGGATCTCTCAGTTGTATAGCATAGTTCAACTGATGTTAGAGGAATTGTATAAGCGACAAGTAGTAAACTATTGGAATTAATTAGATATTAGTAACTTTGCGTAACAGTAACAAGTCTGGTGATAAAATAACTTAATATTTTATAGAAATTTTACAAGTTACAGCTTATTTGATTATCCTGTTTCAAACTGTAAAAAGCAAACGGTAAACTTTTTATTTTACTATTTATAATATTTTGTAGAAGTTAAATATTACGATTATATTGGAACATTTGAAACAGTGACCGAGCCAAGTAAATCGTTAGAATTTCCTTTCACAATTGCAACGTTAAGAACAGAATTCCATAATATAAATTGACTCTGGAGAAATTACAAATGAAATGTTACGCAGCGCAACGTTGATTCTGAATAGATTAAACAGGAAAAGTGACAGGCGAAAGTGTCGATGATATATCACGGACAATTCCGATTTTGTAACTGACACGAATTTTATTCGCATGCTATATATAACAATGTCTTTCTCAGCATATTGTTCCAGGCACGTTTATTTATAAAGTGAAATGGAAGGCCTTTTATACATTTTGTCGGACAATTCTGTCTTGTTCCGCGCTATCTAACGAGCCAATGATCGTATTTCTTTCACTCAACGTGTCACTCCGCCTCGTGCTGTTAGCGTTGCTCGTTTATCTGGTACCTCAACTACAAAGCTGTAGCTTAACCGGGCAACTGTAACCCAACAATTATACGAACGATTGACTAACGAATGTCGATCGGCGAGTGACTCGTATAATGCAATGATTGGACATCGCGCTGATTCGGTTGCTGTTACAGATTCAATTACGGCTCCCACGGCTTGATATTTTGCGACGCCGATTGAACGGCCCGAAATCGGCCGTACAGAACTTTGATCTCCGACCGTCAGTGGTCGAGAAATCGAATTAAACCTGGCTATACGCATAAATAACAAAAATGGTGTCTGTCGTTTATCGCCACTCCCACGACTTTATCTGCTACATTTTTAAATAGATATGTAGTAAGGTAGAGTTGTATGAGTCGTCTAAGTTTCATCGTTTTGAAATTCAATGTTGAACCTTGCACAGAATAATTAAGTTTATTGTACATGTGTATATTATTATAGATATTCAAATTTTGGAATAACAGGAGAGAGACATGACGAGTAACATTTTTCGTTTCATCTTTTTATTCGATCTTGGAAGTAAAGATGTATTTCTGTCTATATAATAATATAAATATGTTTTTTTCTATATGATATATAAATAAGAATGTTACTATACGTCTTAAACAAAAGATGCCCGGTAGCCAGTATGTACATAGTACATAGATTCGCGGGATTGATAATATGTTAATATTAACTTAACACCCGTCGTCTCATATTTAACAACTGTTCGATGCCACGACACAGACGACACGACACTCGTGTGTTAAATAGTTCATAACCTTACCTTAAGATTAAGTCGTTAAGTTCTATCGTATGATGATTAATTAAGCTGCTGGCACGACACCGGTTCGACGAGGCATACATTTCGTCTGTCGACAGAGTATTCTAGCGATCAAGCTTCCAGGATTAATTGCATCGTTAAAGTCGTCGAACAATGTCCCGCAATGAGAAATCAACGCTCAAGTGGGCCCCTTTACGTGCCGTGACCGATGTTCGCGGAATGGATATCAGCTAAGCCGAACAGCGGAGCCGGTAACTTCAAAGAGACGGAGAAAAATTTGAACGGTCAACCCCGCGTAAGAATCGGCAAATTTTTTCGTCAAACGATCAACGCTGCTCGCTTTCCACGCCTATATCTGAATATTTTGACGAAATAACATAAGATATATTTATAAAGAAATGGAATGGATAAAAATCTCTTTAACTATAGATAGATTTTACATGAAAGTAATAACACGATGTATTTTCTTAAGATACTAATAATATATAAGTATAAAAAAAATTGCTTATATCTTGTTACGGAATCGTGCACAAGAATTTATCGAGAATGGCATATTTCGAAGTAATCATATTTTTATGTAGGTATGATTAGGTTAAATAAACAATTTTTAAGTACACCAAATTTTAACGCTATTATATAGAGAAATTTTGAACATCACAATCATTGTGATTTGTGTTATGATTGTGAAAATGTGTTAAATAGAAAATCACGAAAAATGGATACTTTTCGTTTTTACCCATCTCATATTTCTCTCTATTGCGCGTTTCTTCATAAGGGTCCGGGTGAAGGGATGTGTATTTACATATACACTCATTCCTCTTCTATTTCCTCCCTCTATACTTGTCATTAAAGTTGTGTAATGTTATACATATGTAACTCTCTTTGTTTGACGTGATACTATAAAATCGGGATGAAACAATGATTAAAATATTATCACGCGATTGTCGTTTGTTTCATGGGTTCGAAGAAACAAATGGAAACAGACGAACGTAGACCATTAGAGTATTTCGTTCGTTTACCCAGTCACAACACGATTCAACGGGGCGAGTGCTAGACCCGTATATTGAGGAATTGGGACCCTCGTTTTACAAACGTATTCCCTACGTAATAAATTCTCCTTATTTCTTAACCTACAATAATCCTACGCAAAGCCTTTAGGTAGAAAATCTATACATATTTATCTACTTTAATTTCATTTTATTCAACAAAACTTACTTTATATTTATTTGTATTGTTAAAAACCCTTTGTCGGCGATCAGTTTTTATTATTTAAGAATGAATTTTAATTCTACTACCACCGATACTTCTAACAATAATTAATAACCACAAAACATTGCTTCTACACCGGTGTATCATAATGTTGGTTAAGAAACAGAAAACGTATTCGGTAGGTTGGCGCCCTTGGTCGAGGTTAGACGGTCCTGCGGAGAGGCTCCAGCATTGGCTGTTTCGCGGGCGTGGGAGCTCCGCAGGGGTTCAGTTAGTCTGCACGGGTAATAGAACTGCGCTGGGGGTGGGCGTAAGAACGAGGAACGGTTAGTATATCTTCGCGAAGGGTAGGAGCAATAGCCGGTTGGCGCAAGTGCGGCGGGGATATCGTGGCCTGGCGGAGCCCAGTCGAGTCCCGTGAGTCCGGGAAAGCACAGCTATTAAGGTGGTACGTGGTGGTGGTGTAGGCGTCGTCCGGGACTGAGAATTCGAGGCCGCCATCGAGAAGCATCTCCACACGGTGTGTCTGGTGCGTTTATGTGTGGTCGTCGGTTCCGCGTGGTACGCATCGAAAAACCGGCTCGATTCGTGGCTGATTTCCATTCTACCTTGATAACATTGAAAGAGAGCCTTATTCTGTTGTGCCGCGTGCTGTAAGAGTGTGTAGGTGAGTGTGCGTGTGCCTGATAAAAAGAAAGGTTAGAAAGAGAGTAAATGTAAAGAGATTAGCGAGTGGGAATCGAAGAAGAGAGAGAAAGATAAGTAGAATATAGTCGATGCGTGGTAGTATGCGTGGAAAGAGCGGCTGCTCGACCGAACCCGGCGAGGAGGAGGCGAGAGCTGTCACTTCGATCGCCATTTTAGCGCCGAGGCGGTGAAGAACCACCGGGTATGCACGCCGGTAGTGGCGACGAAACGGAGCGCCCTGACACGATGAACGGTGGTGCTGTTTGTGGGCTGTGGCTCTTTCGGTGACTTCCTCTCGAGTGTGTCTCGTGTTTTGGCTATCGAAGGGACCGCTACGCGATACATGATAGAAACGGGGGAAAAGAAAAGTGGTAAGCGCGCGTCGATCAGAATGTGTCCAGTGTATCTTGCGGATCTCACTGTAGACCGTTGTTTCGATTGACGTTATTTTTTTAATTTTTTAAATTTTTAAATTTTTAAATTTTTATTCTATATTTTCGACTTCTTTTTTCGCGTAGAATCACCCCCTTTTCGCTTGTACCACTAGTTACCAACCACCCTGTATATGTTTAAGTGAATTGGACATTAAGTTAATGTGGTAGTTTTCTTCGTACAGACAAATTCGCTAGCTTGGAATGTTCAATAAGTAAGAAAAAATGAATAATTTAAAAAATGCTATATATATATATATATGTATGTATATATATATATATATATATATATTGTACATTTGCTGTTTGTCCGCCTCTGTCTCTGGCCCCAACGCTTCAGTCGACTTGTGTCACTTTCTTGGTGTTTCATCTAGTTTGGATATATATAGTTTCTCTTATTTCGTCGTTTGAGGTTATACATAAAAAGAGGAGATGTCATGTCGCATGAATCAGTGAAATTACCTTGCTCTAATAGTGTATTCGTTGTTTTTCGTCGGTGACTTGATGATTATTTTATAGTCAGTGGAATTTGGAATCGTGTCATAATCTTAACATAATCTAGTCCTCGACTAATTCAACGATCTCGTGCACGCCGGTGACAGTCAAGTGTCGAACGTGTATGCGCGTGGTTAACACGAAATAGTGAGGAAGAAGGTGGTGGTGAGAGTGAGACCGGCGAGGCGCATACATGTGAACATAACGAACACAAGAGAGACAGGGAAGGAATATACGTGTATAGTGAAAAGAGGCGAATGAAGAAGATCGGGGTATAGAGAGAGGGACGGACGGGCACTTACGAACGTAGCAGAAAAGTGAGATGGAAAGCGATGAAAGAGAAGGGACGAATGTATGCGTGTGTGCGTGAAAGAGTGAAAGGGGTTAGAGAAAGAGATAAACGAAGGACGGCGCCATACTGGCTCCCCGGTACATAGTTTTCGTGGCACATTAGGCGATCTTTCTCTCTCGCACTCGCTTCCTTCGATTCGGTTTATGACTCGTCGATCGTCCGTCATATCGCATGGAAGCCTCTGATCGATCGCAAATGGTTTTTAGGTACGTACAACGATAGGCCACGTCTTCGTTGCTGGAACCGAGCAGACAGACACCTCTCCCATCGACACGGACCAGTTTTCCACTTCGTATCGGCCGAAAGAGGAAGAAATCGATGGTGGTGTCACAACAGACAACGTCCGAATCACTTTGCTGGCCGCGTACGTAAACTCTAAACCCGTGGAAAACTCATATCGGAAGTATATAGGAGGAATCGAACAGGCGCGCACGATGATTCTGCGCGTCTGAAAGTACCGTGTACGTAAGAGAGAGGGAACAAGATAGCTAGATGGATAGATAGTTAGATACGTAGATAGGGATAGATAGGACTGATAGAACGTGTGGAAAGAGGAATACACGACGTCGTTCGAGGGCTCGCGTACATATATTTACGTTCGTCGCGTTCGGTGGTGGATAAAGAAAAAAAAATAGAGTGACAACCGGTGATCGAGAGTGGGGGAAACGTATTTCAATAGCGGGAGGAACACGAACGATGTTATCGTTCTTTGTCGCGCGTTTCTTCGACCCCTGATGACCAGTGCTCGCTCTCGGTGTAACCGATTAACAGACTCCCGCGAGTGTCTATCGATTAAACCGTCGGGAGAACAGCGAAGGAGGAAGTGGTAAAGCCTTTGCAAAAGAAAGGAAGAAGGGTGTGGAAGAAAAAGAACGAGAGAGAGAAGAAGGAGAATAGGAGAGCGAATAAGAGAGAAGAAGATCACGGAGAGGATAAAGGATTAGAAAGGAAGAGGATAGAAAATTGGTGACGACTGTGAGTGGTCGGGTAGTGCGTGGCAAGAGAGAGTGTGTGCTCTAAACGGAGCACGTTGCAAAGGAGTAGCATCGAGGACGGGGGGTCCAGAGTGACATTGGGGGGGCGTGTGAGACTGATTTTGCCCCCCCTACCCCCTGTCTGTCGTCCGAAACTGTGACTTCATCGTCGTTAAGTCAATTTCTCGTTGGCGTTACAACGTTGCCGTTTAGGTGAGTCACATTCCATGAATTCTTTTTCCTTCGCGCAAATTCTGCGTACACTATCGTTCATAACTACATATCCGGACACTTCTATCGATTTGTACAAATTATTTATTTTTAAAATTTGTTATTTAAACATTAATAATTTAGTAGAAGCACTTTCCACCATTTTTTTCTAAATCAATAGAATATAAATTCAAGTTAGTTATTAAAGAACGATTGCTATGTACGTATTTTATCTCATATATATATGCGCACATGTTGCGTCGACACAATTATTTAGGTAATATTACTGATACAACTGCTACATCTCAATTTCTGTGTCTTTCAATAAAGTAACATAAGACAGGTAAAGGAAACAGTAGATAGTATAGCCGGAACAGACGTTATTATTAAAAATAAGTAAATTTTTAATTCGAAAGAGAATACAACTTCGAAAGTATAGTCGTATGATTTATAATTCAGAAATCAAAGAATCTGAATATAAAATATATAAAGTTTGACGATTAAGAACGCCAGTTCTTTTTTTATTATTGCATATAAACTTCCAAAAATCAATTTAACGTATATACCTATGATGGTTATAAATAATAAGATCATCGCAACTCCATTTATGCGATATTTAATTTCCTAATTAAAATACATATTGTCAGAAATATACAAGTGTTCAGATACTTTTGAACGATACTGTATACTGTATACCACGACCTTCGTCGTTATATCCTTTTTCTCTGCGTTTCACCAGCCTTTATCTCTCATTCTTCGAATGCAAATCATTTATATTTGCAAAACGAAACGAAACGAAACGAAACGTGGCATTGAGAGTCCGCGAAAGAAATGAATTCTGGGATTGGTAGGGGGCGGGAGGAGAGGGTTTTTGTCCTGTGAGGTCGGCCGAACATTATGATAACGTACAATGTCGCGTCGGGATTCATTGTACGCTTAGTAACAGGCCGCGTTCACTTCCTGGCCTGCTCTCTTGTCCGCGTGGAGTAAGAAACAAACAGGCTCGAGCAGAGAATAGTTCTTCTTTAAGTGTTTTGTCTATACCTCCCCTGTTCTCTTTGTTTTCGTTCATCCGCACTCCGCGTCGTGTTCTGGTCGACGGTCCTCCGGCTGGCGGATTTTGTTCCTGCCCGGAAAAGAGAAAAATACGACATTGATTCGCCACCGAAACACCACTGGCTCCAATTTCATCGTGTTGCATACCACGTTGCACGTATCCGTGACTTACCCTCGATCTCTCTGTCTCCAAGTCGCGAACAAGGAGTTGGAAGGTTGTTGACCTTGCTAATTACACCCTGGATCGTTTCTGAACTCGTCGAAAACGCGTCTTTATCCTCTTGATTCTTTGTTTGTTTTAGTCTCTGGCTTTCTTTTCTGTTTCAATGTTGGAATCGATAATAACAGAATTGTAGATGGATAGTAACTGCACTATGAATATTTGCGTTAAGTTTTTACGAGTATAAGCAAAGAAATAGAGAAGAGAAATAGAGAGAAATATTTGTTTTGTCCATTAAATATTATGAATTTTATAATTCCGAATTATAAAAATACTAGGTACTTGCCATTTTTATGTAATCAAAATAAAATTCTTTTTAGTATTATCGTCTATTTTCTGTGTTTACATATTGTTCATTTCATTCGTCGACGAAAACGAAAGAAATAAATCACTGCGTCTTCGTCGATTTCCTTTTGTTTGGCTTAGTGGTAATATTCCCGTAAAGTATCTTTCCATTAAACGTAGAATGTAACGAAGTAAGAACGATGTAAGACTAAATATCCAACGGGTTGAAAAAACAATGTTATTAATAGATAATGCAAGAACCGGCAGACCTTTGCACTCTCCTAATATTTTCTTGTAATTACGAGCACCTAATATCCTGCGCGTAGTAACGTATCTTCGTTACAGGGAATTCTACGTTACGCTTAGTCATACATGGTTTAACACGAGTACAACGATTTTATAGCGTCTGAACACGTATCATTACTTAAGGTGATCATTTTCAACGTTCGTATGCTTTGCGAGAATTACGCGGTTAATTTAATGCGTTCGGCGCGTCTTTGGGGGAATCTTGAATTAGCTCGCGCCCACGAAGCTAGTTACTTGATTTCGGTTACCTGATTCCGAGCAATTCCCGCTTCTCGGAAATACGCTGCGTCTCACAGCAATAAAATCATTCTAAAATTTTCCATTTCTTACATACAGTGGCTGGAGAAGCTATTTGAATACTTATCGCGGAAAATCTTTACGCGTGTAGTGCGCTTATGTACGTTTATTATACGAGCTTCTCAAAAAGCCAAACTCCGCTTTTCATTAATTTCTTGACTTTATTACATAAGTGCACTTATGTAAGATTAATACTTCATTCCCAGGAAACAAATAATTCCATAAGCTCATTCATTGTAAGATTTTCTAACTTTCATTTACGCGTACAAATTCGTTTTAAATTTCACTAATATCAATCATGATAGCGTCGTCTCGTTCTAATTGTAGTGAAATTTCGAAGTGCTTTCTATGTAACACACATAGTATATCGATAAAAAGTTTCTATAGACGATCAGATACTTTTGTGAGCTGCTATACTTCGTTCCTTTTCGCGTTAACCACGACACGCTATAAGAATCGGAAGTTTCTGGGTTTGTTTTATAGGTACGAGGCCCGCTCTATTTATACGTGATACATACGTTTAACGTTGATTTGATTCGATTATTCTGTCGAACGGGCAGACGTTTTTTACGCGGAATCTCTTTAGAGCCGATTGAATAAAAATCCAATCGCTTTTTACCGCCTCCTCCCATTATAGTCTCCTTTTCCCTGCCTTCTTTTCTTTCTTCCTTTTTTTTTCAATAGGAGGAAACAAAATTCACTGGTGAAACGAATATGGCAGCCAGGCGAATTCATTTTTGTTAACGGTGCAATTACTTTCAAAATGATTGACGTCAAATAGTACGCGCTATTTGCGCGACCACGTTCGTCAGATTATATACATATTTAGCGATTGCCTGCAGTCTCTCTCTTTTTTATTTTACATTCCCTCCCCCTCTGCCTCCGATTTTTTTCCCTTTCAAATATAATTGATTGACAGCGTGCAACGCTGAAATTCAATTACCGTTGATACAACGCTCGAGTACCAGTCGACTTCTGATCAATACTCGAATAGGACCGTTTTTCCGGCCGTGTTTCTCGCGAATAGAGACAGACATTGGTAAAAAAAAAAAAAAAATAAAAAAAATAAAACAGGTACAGACGCAGTGACCGATGTCGTTTCGTCGAAACGTAACCTGGGTCGTTGGACCACACCATTAACCCCTTGGGGGGTGGCGGATGGTTTTGTTACAATCGTTTCAGGAAACGCTGGTCGGTGGTGGCATATTTTTTTCTTTCTTCCTTTTCCTTTTTTCGTGCAGAATCCAAAAGAAATTCATAATTATACGGGTTCGTTAGCGGTTACCCGGTATTCCGTTTTGAAGTTAATCGACGATGAAAGAATTTCGCTCGGGATCACGATGAGCGGGCTTAAAATACGAGCAGCTTTCGTGGCTTTGACCATTAAAAGCTGTACTGGCGATGCGGTTAACCTCAAAAAGTCTATAGTTGGGCCTTCCGTCGGCAACCCTGGGCAATTTCACTGGAGAATATGAGGAAGGATAGCGGAGGAACGAGGTCGGCGCGCGCGTAGGCATCCTCGTCCTTTTTTACTTTCTTTCTTTTCGCAGTTGCATCGAAAAGGAACGGTGTTGCGCGCGTCGTTAACGAAAGCAGGCCACGTTTCGCCGTGGATGAGGCTTGGCTTCTTAATCGCCTGACCGTCGCGTCGTTTCTTTCTACGAGTATTTTACTTTGGCATTAAAGAGGGAAGAAATTTAAATAAAAACGAAGGAAGAAATATTTTTAGGAATTTAGCTTGCTTCTTAATCGTTTCGTTTTAGTTTACTTTGTAATTGAAAAGAGAAGAAATTTTAATAGAGTGTAAGCAATATTTGGAGAATGAATCGAATCTTTTTATTGATTTTATTCCTTTAATTAATCGGATCGTTCGTATCGAATTAATATAAAAATGCACGTTACGATACTTTGATCGAGCAAGAAGAAAGGATTTGTTGGTTCTCGCGTGTTAAACGTTATTCGCGAAAATCCTTTTCAAATACCGTCCGTGTTAATCGGATCGAT